GAACATAATAGCAACAATAGCATGGAACAGGAAGAATAAATTTGGACAAGGAAGGGGAAGTAGAAGCTCATTTGAGCCTGGTAAAGGAGAAAGGAAAATTGAGATTTAGAAAGTTAGAGGCTGTGGTTGATTGGGTGAAGAGAAACAGAGGGACAGCTAAAAGAATTTTTGGTGCCTGGACAAGTATTTCTTGGGAAGAAAATGGAACAGGTAATGAACAGGAACAGGGTAACAGCTAAGGAGTCTGGATGAATTATTTCTGTGATTTGATTCACCACCTATACGTTGAAGATAATGTGCTCCTGCCCTACCTCACAGAAGTGCTATGGCAGACTTCCTGAGAGATGCAGTCAGGACTGAAAGTAGTTAGGCAGAGAAAAAAGAAAATTTGGACTAGCTGGAGAAAGGAACTGGGACTGAGTCTTGTGGCTACTCATGATCTTGTTCTCTATATTTATTTCCCCACTAGCTTGCGATATTTCTGGTTCTATTACTCTTTCTCATTTCCCTTCGTTTCTCCTCTCTTTCCTCCACATTCTCTGTATTTCTTCTTCCATTGTGGTTATTTATATTGTATTGCCTCTGTTACTAAAAACAAAGGTGAAATTTTCAGGGTTTTGATTGCTGTACCACTAAAGGACAAAACTATAAAGATCAGAATCTTGCAAGTTTTTTAAATTGTTTTCTGTACAAAGAACCAAGGAGCAGATCAGTAGAGAATTAAAGCAATAAGAAAAATAAATCTATTTCACCACTGGTGGATATTTCCCCTTTTTCTACTCTAATTTTCCCCATTTCCTTCTCTAGTTTTTTGACACTTAAAAAAAAGAATGAGTAAATCGTGTTCTTAACTTTCTTTTTTCTAATTTCACCATAGTCCTACTGATAGCACACGCTGAATACAAATCAGAAAGATGAAGCTTCTTGTTTTAAACAGAAGGTTCAGCAAATGCTATGATGTTTTCCTCTTTGTGAAGCGAGTTTATGAAAACAATTTAAATTTTAGTTCCAAAATGGTTAGGCACTTGATTTTGATTTCCAGGATGGAGATATAAATTAATTAGCTACTTTGGGATTGCAAAAATCTCCCACTGTTTGATGATGCATGCAGAATATTAAGCATAATTCAGTTTAATTACGACTGTAAGCACTTTAAAAAAAAAAAAAAAGTTGATTACCCTTTTTAATGCCTGTTCTTGTGTTAATGGCTTACATTGCAAGGGACAGGGTCAGAAGCATGATCTTTTACAATTCATAAACAGCAGTAGATTCTTTTTGAAGATAATCATGCTATAAACATCAAATTTACCTGCTATTCTGCCTGTGGTTACCTCTGAATAAGTAAAAAAAATCAACCTGTAGCATCATATGCATCTGTCATTGCAATCCTTACATTACGAGGCTCCGTCAGTGATTTTGTGACAGAATGTTAACATATGTTATGGATAAGAATAATGGCAAAAGGCAAAAATGTTTGACTGCTGCTTTTAAGTTTCTGCATTGACTCATAATGTAACTTCTTAAACTTAAAGTAGTCTTATAATTACAATGTGCTGAACAAAAACTGTCAGATTTATGCTTGCTTTTCATTCTGGATTACTTTGCAGACAAACATATGACGTTAGGTGATAACATAAAAGAACTTGGAAAAACAATGGCTGGAATAGGAGGAACTCATTCAGAAGGAAGTGGTGACTTGAATTTCTTCAGTGTTGAGCAAGCCAAAGCAGTCATTGATTACTTGAATATCAGGTATTTCCCTAGGATTGACTATTTCTTATTCTAATAATTTAACACTGTAGGAAGTCTGCTGATAAAGTTAGTTAAAATTATTTAGTTGGGCATGTTCATTCTGTACCAACATGCTGGACACACCAAACTTTGAAAAGGAAAAATACAAGAGAATACACAAGTAGCAATAAAGATCTGGCCTCAGATGTCAAAGCTGAGGAAACTAAAATCTTAGACTGGAAGTTTATCTCAATGTAAGATTATGCTGAAGAGATTTTTTTCTGGTTTTCTGGGTTTTTTCTGTTTTTTGTTTTGTTTTTCCTGGATGATTTAAGGGAAAGGGAAGATGGTGATGTGTAGAGAATACTCTTGATTTGCTTTTAAAACATTCCACTTACAGATTCTAATTGAACAAAATCTTAGGTCACGTCTGTAAGTATTTTCATACCCTTGCCAGCTGTAGTGGACTTTGTAGCTGGTTTAAGGTTAGCCACTTTACAGAATTACGGCTATGGCAAATCAGTATGAGTCATAAAAATAACTTCATTTCAAAGTCAGCAAAAATTCAGCATCTACGTGAAGAGGTCTCAAATTTTAGAGAGCTGCAAAAAGAAATGCAAACAGCAGTAATTCAATTACTTTTTTTTAGAAAACATGAAGGTTAGAAGGTAGCCTATCATGTATCTCTGTATAAAGTCTTGACTATACAGTGAAGCATAGAGACTTTTCTCCACTGATATGTCATAATCGTAACAGTGGCTTTACCCATACAGCCCTGTTTCCAGTGCATGGTGGACAGAGTGCTTCTTGAGCTGTTGTATCGCTCATATATGCCAGGGGGCAAGAAGAGATGGGAAATGGAAAAGATACTTTGCTAATATATGCCTATATACTATGCTAGATTTATACCCATTCAGCCCATTTCCTGACCTGAATGGTAGTACTAGAGGGAGAGAGTTTGTGGCAGACAGGCATAAAAATGAGGAAGACCATGATGTCATGATAGATCCGTATGTAGAATTGTTGGGAATTTTCTGACTATTCTTTTGCTAGGAAAAGTTTAACCCATCTAAAAGTGTTTGAGTGTGTTTTCTTGGATGCAGAAAGTGTTTTCTCTTGAAGATGGACAGGATTATTACAGTGGATAATTGCCTCCTGGTTTAGGCCACTCAGTTTCACTGAGTGTTTAAACCCATCTCAGGTGATTTCTCTGGACTATAAAGTTTGTCTCTCTGTTTTCCCTGTTCTCTGTTTTTTTTTTTTTTAATATCTTTTTAGTGGAAAATGTAATGACCTTCAGGTTCTTCCTAATAGGAAAAGTGAACATCTCTTTGAATCTTAGATTTCTTTGGTCAAGGCAAACCAATGTCATGCCAAGTACTAGCCCTAAGCTTAAATGAAACTTGGCATTAAGATGCCTCATTCAACTTTAGCTTCTCCTCTCCCATCTGTGCCTTTTATATATGTGTATGGAGCAAATGTTCTTTCCAAATAGGATCTCTATGGTTCTTGTGTAAATTATCTATTGGTAGAGATCTTGTCCATGAAGTAAGTCCTTCGCAGTCACAACGATTTGGTCAAAGAGATTAGGTGCTCTTTCCTACTACCATTGAAGTATTAACTCAATGGGAAAATAATCAGGCCACAAGATTTTATCAGCAGATGTTATTCTGGCCACCAGATGTGTGAATTTCTGTTCAGATTCTGCCCAACTTGTAACAAGTACAGGCTGTTACAAGTTCATGGATATTTAAACATACACTAGAGTTTATCATATATATCCAGTTTATGCAATCCATTATGTCACCCATTTGAATATTTTTTTTTTTCTAAAGAAGAACTGAATCAGCACACTTTTTATCTGGGTCTATTTTGAGCTTTATGAACTCAAAAATAGGTAAGTGAATTTTATTGCAATACAAATAAATGTATTTAATATTTTCTCTTGTCCTTCACTTTTTAAATTTTAAGTGATAGGCCTATAGCTTTTTTTTCCCCCTACCTGAGATAATATGACATGCTTTAGTTCAGATCACGTTTTTACAGGTGAGTGATAAACCCATGGGATTTATAATAGAAATAGGGACAAACACTTAACCACGTTGCCACAAACTGTGCAGCAACTGTAATGACACCATCAGGTTTGGTGAAAGGTGACAGTTATCGTCTTTTTTATCTTGACTCCTTGGGCAAATACACATCAACGTATCTCCTGACGTTTTCTCTCAGGAGGCAGTGGAGCTAAGGAAATATGTCAAATGTTAATCACCTTCACATTCTCATATGACAGCATAAGATGCCATATTCTTAAAAAATCTTATTTGCATAAGTAAAATTCGTTTTGTATAATTCCTAAAAATACTGGCACAGAATCTTTTAGTTGTTCCCAACAGATGCAAACAAGCAAGGAAACAAAAAAGCACGTTGTATAACAGCTGATAGAAGAAAGAAAACTATGCTGTTGTTCCAAGCTAAATACTGAGGTTGTGTAATTTATGTGTTTTGATTTAAAGAGCATTAAATGGAGGAATTCTTCCCTTACTATAGGATTGGAATTCTTCCCTTACTATAGGATTAAGGGTGCCAGGTTAAACAGAGCTTTGTTTTTAAAAAAAAAAAAAAAAAAAAAGAATTTGGAACTGCCAAAGGTAATGATTTGTATTTGTGGGAATATTATAAAATTATCTATACATCTAACATAGTCCATAAAGAACATATTTTGAGGCTCTAAGGGGAAGAACAGATTTTCTGGTGCTGTCAATCTGACTGCTTTCTAAGGCACTGGAATAAATAAAAGAAAAAAATGCAAAATGTTAAGTTACAGAATCACAGAATGGTTGAGGATGATCTCTCTCTGGAGATCATCTAGTCCACCTCCCCTGCTCAAGCAGGGTCACCTACAGCACGTTGCACAGGATCGCATCCAGGTGGGTTTTGAATATCTCCAGAGAAGGAGACTCCACAACCTCTCTGGGCAACGTGCACCAGTGCTCAGTCACCCTCACAGGAAAGAAGTTTTTCCTCATGTTCAGACAGAACTGCCTGGATTTCAGTTTGTGCCCAGTGCCTCTTGTCCTATCGCTGGGCACCACTGAGAAGAGTCTGATTCTATCAGTGCAGTTTGAAACATATATATCACTTCTTGTATGTCTGTGATGTTAATAAAATATTTCTTATCTTTTCAAATAACCCCTGTTACATTATTACCAGAAAATAGCTGTGTACATGAGAGGACACGTGTTTTCATAAATCGATCTGAGTCACTTCCAAATAAATCCTGAAGATTTACTGTAAAGACAGTTCCTATCTCTCCACTGTAGTAAGGAAGAAATTCTTTGGTGAAGTACCATTATAAGAACGTACTGCAAATGAGATGGCACATATTGCAACTTAAATTAATTGCCTATGTGATTGGGTTTGGGAAAAGGGAACTTGTAATTTGTGGTAGCCGAATTTCTTATGCAAGTTGGTAATCAAATTTGTTTTTTAACAAATGATAATTGAATGACTGAATTAAATGTAACTGTAGAATAAAACGTTAATATGGCACTTAAAGAGCCAAATGTTCAATGAGGCTGCCATAATACTTCTCACAAAATTAGGAAATGCATCTATACATATGCACAAAAATGTCTGCACCCGTTCAGGCAAAAATATATTTGAAAGTTTTACAGATGCATTTGACTACGTGTCCTAGAAAATGTATTACTGTCATGTAAGAGAGGCAGGCAATGCCACCTTTGTATTCTTCTAATTGTGAGCTGCTTTCAAGGACTAGAAGAACAGCTACTGTACATTAGGTGGCCATTTAGTGCTGCTTAAATTAGAGGAAATTCTCTGTGGCCTGCAGTGTTTCTTGAAATCTCTTTGGTACCGTGGCAGTGGCCTGTGACACCTTGTACAAAACGGTGGGGGATTCAGGGAAGGACCAGTCACCTGAAATTGTGTATCTTGAACGTAAGACTCCCACAACTGGCTTCCCCATTACATCCCCCAGCCAGGATTGTATTTCGGACACATTTGAGCACGCTGCTTCTCGTTGCTGCAGCAGATGCGGTGAGCTGGTGGAGCGCCTCCATGGGCTGCGCCTGGGCGCAAGGCGGGGGCCTGGGTGCAGATGCCTCAGTGCCATGGGGTGACCAGCCAGGCTGGTGCCTGCGCGGGCCTGGCTTTCTGCAGAGGTGCAGGAAGGGCCACATGCCAAAGAGCAGGTCACACTGGGTCCTATGGCTAGGCACTGATATTGTAAACACATTTATGATGTGAATGCAGCTATGAATGCCGTTTCTACCGTATGTTTCTGAAGAGCCTCACCTAAAAAGCATCTTTAATTATTTCATAGTTAACAAATGTTTGCAAAACAGATGTAGTTGGCCCTGAGATGTTCTGCTTGCTCTTCCTTCACCCCTTCTACTGTTTAAATATTTTTGACCAGGATTGCTTCTGTCATAATTTTTCAACCTGTTTGCATTATGGTTAGTTTATTGTAAAAGAGAACCGTCTTACTCAAAGGCACATATTTTTTCTAACGTGTGCTGTGCTTATCGTGCAGTTAATTTTACTCTGCTCTTTTAAAAGGAAAAGCAAACAAAACCCCCAAACAAAACCCCAAAACATTGTATGTGAGCTTTGCTTGTTTCCTAGGAAAGCACGATACTTGATGCTCCAAATAAAAGCTGAAATTCACATACACTTCTGCAGTAGTCAGAATTATTCCTGACACTCTTTATTCAACAGACACTTGATGAAATAAGGAAGAGCATCCCTAAAAGAAATCAAAGAAAAACATTGTTTTAAAATGCTGGCATACATCCTCTGACAAGGGACAAGAACCTTTTATCAGCAACATGTATGTGCTATCTTGGTATTGGCAGTTGCCTTACAGACTGAAAGATTTGAAACCAGGGCACCAGCTTTTGACAGGTGACTTTGGGGTGGATGTTGTTAATTCCTTAATCTCCTGGCCCAGAAATAAATAGCAGAAGGCTTAACTGTATAAGTATAATGCTTGATATCCAGCAGCAAGTAGCAATAGCCTTAGCATTAGCTAGATGATTGCGTACATGGTGTGTAGTAGTTACTTTCCTAGAACCATAGAAAAATTTAGGTTGGAAGGAACTTCTGGAGGCCACCTAGTCCAGCCTCCTACTCAAAGGAGGATTAACTTCAAAGTCAGGTCAAGTTACTTATGGCTTTGTCCAGTCAAGTTTTGAGTATTGCCAAGGACAGAGATGCTGCAGCCCTACTGAGCAGCCTGTCCCAGTGCCTAATCACTATCATGGCAAAGAAATTTTTCCTGTTGCAGCTTAGCCTTTCCTGTATACCTCTGGCTCCCCTCTTCTCTGTACTGCCTTAGGTAGTGGATAACTGCAACTGGATCCCCCTCTTTGCCTTCTCATCTCTTGGCTGAACAAACCCAGGTCCGTTAATCTCTCCTCCTGTGTCAGATGGTCGAGCTCCAACCGTCTTATCAGCCTGTACTGTACCCCCTCCATGTTGTCATTTTCTCTGTTGGCCTGAGGGGCCCAGAACTGGACACAGTGTTCCAGATGCGGCCTTACAGGGGCCAAGCAGAGAGGCTTCAGCATCCTGGGTGCTGACATAAAAAAAAGCTGTGTCCTTAGCCAGAGAGGACAGCAGTCAGTTACAAACATTCCCTCCAATTATTGCCATAGCTTTCACAGCTATGTGAGTGTGATAAACTCTTTGAATCATTCCTCAACCTGAACGTGCTATGAAATCACAGAGCTGTGTTTTTAATCATATGTCAAAATGACATAAGCAAAGCCAGAATTTCAGTATCGTAATTTTAAGAGAACAAGTAATTGTAACAGATAGACTGTGTCAAACTGAACCTTTGATTAAAAAAAAAAAAACTATATCATTAATCACTAGGAAACAAGGAAAATTATTTAAAACATGTGAAAGAGAAAGCTCTATATATTTTAAGGAAGATAATTATTTTAGGTTGTTGAGAAAGTTTGTTTTTGTTTTGTAATACACAAAACTCAAGCGTGTTAATCTCATTTTCAGTAGTCTGTTACCTGAATTTCTGTACAGTAGATTGACAGTCAATCTACTGTACTCTACAATTGCTTAAGGAAAAACAGCTTCAACAAGAGATTTCTTTTTTTTTTTTCATTCCTTCCACCTTTTTAAGAAAAGCTGCTCTTTTTCTCCACCCTCCAGTCTCCTCTTTTCATTGTGTTCTGTGTAATTTTAAAATAAGCACCAGGCAAGTTTCTCTTTAAGAAAATAATGTGCTAGTTCTGAAACATGATTTTGAGAGAATAAATGCTTCCATTCTTTACTGTTTTCACGTTCCAAGATCAAACTTGCGTAGTAGACTACCAGCCCATCCCAGAATCTGAAAGCTGGGTAGGCTTTTGTTTCTTTCTTGTCTAATGTTGCCGATATTAAAGCTGTAAGTATGCTGGTGATAAGTGCTTCAGGAATTACTTTTTTCAGAGTAGAACTTACCGTCTTCTCAGGACTCAGTTTCAATAACAAGTGCATGTATTCTTAAGTGTAATATGGTATTTTCTATAGCTATCTAACAGTAAATCGCGTAAATTAAATATTCTGCAAGTTGTAGTTAAACAAGTATTTCTTTTTAACATTTGGAATGTCACCCTACTAGTGACTGACTTTTAGTGTAACAGATTTTTTAATAGTGTTACCTTTCTAAAGATTTACTGCTGTTTCTCTTGTATTCCAGCTTATTTCAACATTATAAACTATATGAATATCTTTTCCATAGTCCTAGAGAAGAACTTGTGATAAGTGATGAGGTAAGTCATTTATATAGATGGGACTCATTATTGCAGAGTTATTTAATGAATGCACTCTGGCATATGTTTTTTATTGCTCAAAGCAACTGCACGTCAACATTACTATATTACTAATAGCATAAAATAGCAGATTAAAGAATACAAGGCAGATGTTTTGATCCTCAGATTCAAAACGAATTTTGGATTTCAAAGAAGTGTAAATGCATTCCTTGGTTAAGGTGCTAGTTGTGCTAAATCACGAGTACTTCCATGTGTGTATTTTTAAGGTGGTGCATGTAATTTGAATCAGCAATGCATGAGTCTGATTATACTTCAAAGTCAGCAATCAAAACCTGAAAAGGTTGTGTACCAAGCCTAGGCTGACCGCAGTCCTAATATTTATGTATGTATATGTATGTATGTACAGGTTTTGTTTCCATTGCAGCTACCAACAGTTAATTATACAGATTGTTCAGAAACAAGCTAAATAGAAATTCAGCATTTTGAAGGCACTCAGTTAATAACAGTGAATTGGCCTGATTGTAAACTTTGCCATCTATTCAATCTTGTATGTGAAAAAATACATAAGAAAATATATTGTCTCAAGATGCTGAATCACTGTCAAAGCTGTCATTGTATTGTCTCAAGATGTGTTCTTCAATCTAATGGACAGATTCAGTTCATCAAAGAAACCTTCCTTTAGCTGTACTGTGCTTATTGAGGATATATTTTACAATACATCAAAAAGAATTTACTTTTATAATTTATATTAGGAAACAACTGGTTACTCTGAGAGGCACAGTGGTAGAATTTTTTTGGTGGGACACTTTAGTTCATCAGTATACAGGGAAAATAGAGTTCATACATACATTTGAATATTTCCTCTGCTCTTGAAACTGGGAAACTGTCTATAAAGGATGTGGTGTAGTTTCTTCCTATGTTGCTTCTAAATAGCTGAATTAAACACTAGAAATATTTTTCTTGAAGTGGATGCAAATATTTTGGAAATTATTCTTATCATTTGTAAGATGGGGCAAAATTCCAGCTATGCTGAATCACTGTCAAAGCTGTCATTACATAAGTAGAGCAGGACTTCAACCTTAGTATTTTGATTGGGTTTTTCTGTATTAACTAATTAGATCACTGGTTGGTTAGTACTTCCTAAGTGGTAAAATTGGTGAGGGAAATGTATGTCTGTGAATTAGCTTGGTGAAGATCCATCCAAGGAACAAGTGCAGTGTACAAATTATAGCCATCACTAAAACCTTCATGAGAGTTTTTAACTGTAGCTCTCTTAAAGTAATTACTGCTTAAGTGCCAGGTCAGTTTAATATGTATATTTTGTATTCTAAAGTCCCAAGGTAGAGACTCTTTAATTTGTGCAGCTTCACTGTGGTACCCAATAAGATCAATGCTTATTTTTTTGTAGAATTTATTTTGATAGGGTGATACATTGCTCTTCAGTAAGTTATAGTTACAATATGTATAGCTTTGAAGCTGTACATACAAATTGCTGCATTATGTGTATTTACTTTATTGGTTAAAATGTGATGAGAAGTGAACTTGGTATAAAATTCAAGTTCTCTGCCTACAGCTTTCTTATAATTAGAAATCCATTTTCATAAAGGAGAGCATTACCTTGCGTCTCTGCAGTCCCGTAGGTGAACAGCTCAAACCCTAACAAGTGAGAGGGACAGAGGTGGTTTGAGGTGCGTGCCTTCGGCAGGAGCATTCCCAGAGTCACATGCCCGGCAGTGCACGTGCTCAGGGAACTGAGGCGGGCTGGACAGGATCTGGGAAATCTGATTGCTAAAAGTAGTAGATAGAGCTGTGGTGTAAGACTGACCACTGTCTTGCTGTATAGATCGCTGTTGTAACAAAATAGGTGCTGTAGATACACCACAGCCCACAGCTAAGCTCCGTACTGCTCACGTCGTAAAAATTTTCCTTTTAGTTCCGATGATAAGAGCCTGTGCTTTGGGAACGGCCAAACTGTAATGGCCAGGTTTGCCTGAATAACAAGAACCATGACTTTCTAAGAGCTGAATTACGGTGTTATCTCCTTTTGCAAATGAAGACTGCTGTGTAGGGTGAAAGTATTACTTACCAAAGAAGAGCCCAATAGTCTAATAACAAGATCTGTTTGTTTAAAAGATATGCAGCTACAACGATTAAAAGTAGTACTTAGTGTTGTAATGGATATCCTTTTGGAGAAGCCATGGCATGTGTTTTCCAGAGAAATGGGTTATAAACCTATTGAACTTTACTTTTTCTCTAGTGCGGGGATTTATACGGCGTTCTCAATGAGATTTCCTTTTTGATCTTTCACTGCAGTTATTTCCAAATGACCCTGTTGTTTCCTGTGTAGGATAAAATCAGACAAGAAAAAAAAGGGAAATGACTCAGAACAGTTAGATTATGCATACAGTATCTGTGGCCATGCCAGTTAACAAAATTTAAGTTACTTAAATATGGTGCATAATTAGTGGACCATCACAGTCAGATTAATATCCTTAATTTGATACGGCTAGCATAATGGAACCAACTTCGTAAAATACAGATGATATTTAAGTATTAAAAGAAAAAAAAAAGGCAATGAACGACTGGCTAATATAAATGTATTTTAGCTTCAGCTAAAGCCTTTAAATCAAGCTGCCTGAGGTGATCATATAGCCTAGGAAAAAAGGTTAAAACTGAAAGACGTGAATGCTTGGTTAGATGATAGAATGCACATCATACATCTAACCTAGTTTGGCAGTCTTTAAAATTTAAAACTTACCTTTCCAGCTATCAAATCCCTTACTTCTCCTTCACTGCAGATCTACAAAGACCTATGTATTTTGTGTGCATGAATACCTGTTAGAAAGCATGATGGTACAAGGAATTACAGAGACCCGTTAAGACTGCTGAGTAAATCCGTTGCTTTTTTTCTATTAGCATTATGAGCAGTTCCCCCCATTCAGAACCATTACAGAAGAAACAGCTGTACTCTGGCCATGATCCAAAATAAAGTGTATGTACTGCTAGCATACCAGAGTTCTTAAAGAAGATTGCTTTTAAAGATACTGTTTTTTCCTTTTATCAGTTCTGGAGATTTTACTCTCTAGCTGTGATTTAGTACACCTATATTACCCTGCAAATTCAAAGAAAGCAAATGGAGTACAGACTAAATCTTGATGTGCAGGGATTCAACAGAGCAATTCCCATTAACACATGTCAGATCTTATAAAAAGGTTTAAATTGTTAATACATGAATTGTGTAGAAGTTTTTATTATTTTCTATTTCTGTGTTCAGTTAATTTACTTTGCTTTGATAGGATGATATATTACAGCACATCTTGTAATTTTTTTCTTCACATTTACAAACTGTGCTTTATACTGCAGTTCATGTTTTTGATGCTCTTTGTTGTGTATTTTTGGATGGAATCAGGCTAAAGTCTTCTGGGATTATGTCTGCTTTGAAACATTTCCTAATAAAAATAATGTGGTTGGTAAATCTAGTTTTATTCCTAGTTGCTTTAGCCAGCCTGATGGAGTAATCTGCTATTTTATGGCCCAGATGACTAGCTAAGTTTGACTTCTTGAAGCGGTAGTGTACAATGTAATTTTCTTCAGAGATGTCATAGTGGGTCAGGTTGCAATAAAAATATCGAAGATTAAGTTTAATGGCAGTGCACATTCAGTATTATAGCAGTTACTAGATATCATTCCCTGTACTTAGAATTCCAAAACAGTTTCCATTAATGCCTTGTTTCCATGTGCTTCTTACTTTCTGAAACATTAAGCTTTCAGACTATGTCTGGTCTTTATCCAAATGTGGGATTGGGTTTTTTTTTTTTTGAAAGTTTGAACAAAATCCCTTCTGTGTCTGAATTTAAGGGGGTGGATGGGAAGAATATACTATTTGAAGACTAATAAACCTTTTTTCCAATGGCAAAAGACCTGAAGTCTGGGAATTTACTTTGATATATAATCCTCATTAGGTGTTGCACGTTTTGATTGGTTAATCAAAATCATTTTTAAAGCAATTTAGTCAGTGATTTCTTGAAAACTGCATTTTGAAGGTGTATGAAACCAGAACATTTCTGTAAGCATATCAGTTCACGCTAGCGACTCATTCGTCAGCTAATGGAGTGCGTGCTTTTTTAAGCTTGATGATTTCAAATATTTGTAATGCTTAAAAACCACTGAGTTGATTTTCTGAGGCTTTGTTTTGTAAACATCACCATGGCAAAGCCATCAAGACTAATTTCAAGGAAATAAGAGCCTAAGACTAGAAGAGACCTCTTCCATTGTCCCTTCTTCTCATAGGCAAACATATCATATAATCCTCTTCAGAAACTTGTCACACTCCAGCTTAAAACCAGTTAGCTTTTTTGTCTCTGCTATTTGAATTAGAAAGCTGCCCTGGAGCCTGATTTCTGTACTGGTTAGAAAACTTATAATATCCAGCCTAAATATATTCATGACGAGCTTATGTGTACTTGTTCTTGTGCCAATTTGTGCCGGTATTGACCTTCAGTTCTTTTTTCCGTCCCCAGTATTTACTTTTTCAGTGTTTAAGGAGACAGCAATCTTATTGTCAGCCTTCTTTTAGCTAAACTAAAAAAGCCAGTCATCTTCAATCTCCACTTTTAAGATAGGCTTTTGTTGCATACGTTCTTACCTACGTATCATCTTTTACTCATCCTGTTGGTCTTTTCTATTTTTATTTCACTTTAAATTCATTTGGTTTGCTCATGAATAACCATACTGCACCTAATATTGTTGCTGAGGTGAAAGCAAGGCCTTGCATGATGACAGTAGTGCTTTCTTTTTCTGTACCGGGGATATTCGACATGATGCATCCTAGAACTGGTCAGACGTTTCATGTGGCCGTCTTGTAGTAGGCCTACTGTTCTGGTTCTTCTTGATTACTGTCTTTTCCAACTGACGTAGTCCCAGTGCACAGCAGGTTTTTAACAATTTTGTCCCAGCAGTGTCACTTCATAATTATATTATTGAATATAAGGTTGAATATT